CCGTCGGGCGAATATGCGTCAGATTGTGAGATATTTAATATTCATTACTCGTAATCAGGGACGTATCGATTCCTGGCAAGTCGATCCTCCTCCTGCTGGCGATATTGAGAAGCAAGACGATGATCACTTTTGCTTCTCATCAAACCCGGCGAACTTCCAGGTGGAGCCAGTGAAGTTCCTGATCCCAGGTGTGAATTACTACCGGTTTCGTGTTTGATATTCAGTTCTCCATAACCAGCGACGTGGAGCACCAGCTGATTGGGCTCGTGCGGCATGACGAATCGAACGCGACGCCCGTAATCACCAGCTTCATACTCAAAATTCCTGCAAATGAGTTCAGTTAGAGCATTCAAGTCGATAATTAAAATCTTCCAAGTACCTGATGAACTCGACAGTGCGGAGGAACAGTTCTTTGGTATCCAGAAGCTCCGCATCGTCCCAGGCGACATTCTCATTGATGTGAGCGTCCGCGAGATCGCAGTTGCTCTGAATGTTCGCAATTTCGAGCTCGAGATTCTCCTTAAGCTGGATCAAGCCTCGGAGTTCTGTACCTGAGTAACGCTCGATCTCGTTCCGCAGGTATTCGGTGCGATCTTTAAGGGCCTTGCTGAGTCGTCTGTAGATCTCGTCGACTTCCTCAGCTACCGAGGCGCAATTTGTTTGCAAACCCAGGGTATTCTTCTCCACAAGAGCAAGAGCATCTTGTAATCGATGGAGTCCTCTCCTCACCTGTCGATTTTTACACAAAGTTCAAAGACCGGAGACCAAAGATTCAAGAAGAGGATCTACCTGTGAATTTATACGCGTTATTTCGCGTCGTAGAATGTCCATGTGCGCGTCCTTGCATTCTGGGCAACATTTTTTATCACAGTGTACACACAGTGAACAGTAACTTTTCTCGGAGCAGACACCACAGCGCTCCATTGTTTGACCGCTTGTTGGATCCGGTAGCTCTCCTGTGATCTCTATGTGGAGCTCCAGGAAGCGTTGCAGTGTCACGTTTGTGGGAAATGCCTGCACACCCTGAAAAGATAGTTACTGATGACTCAATCTTTTAGGATTTTAAACATGGTGGAAAAGATTAGTTACCTGATAGGGTATGCGATGCTCGGCGCGACATTCTGGACACTTGACCTGACGACGGACATAATCGATCAGGCCGTCCATACATGGTTCCATGCAAAAGCTGTGCTGGCATGGTAGTAACTTTGGATTTCTATATCGATCAAGACATATCGCGCATGTCAGCAGTTGTTCAAACTGCTCCATGCTGCCTGCAATCACAAAGACATCACCATTTAAATAAAATTCACAGATAAAACGGAAAAAATCATTGGAAATCTTCTCAGGTCCCGGTTCTTAGTCCTGAATTTACTCCTGAATCTATCGTACGAGTCGGCGCAACTCTCCGAGTACTCAAACAAAATCTTTTGTTTAGTGCGCAACCGGATGGATAGCCCTCGGTGGAAATTCAGAGAATTTCCCGCACAAGATACCAAACAGTGATTAAGATATTCTGTTCTTTCAGTATTATTTCTGCTCTTCCCTTTACGACAAATTCATCATCCCCACCCAGCACTCCCCAAGCCGCTGCACTGCATCCCCACTCTAGTACTTTCTTCACGGTTTTGAGCGCGCAAAACCCAGAGGACGAGCGCGGAAGAAAGAAAAGATGAGCAACGGGGAAAATTGGTGAGTAAAGAATGACTGGGTTTATTTTACGTACGTTTTATGCACTCGATATAGCAGAATCCGTGCAAAATACTAGCGGTTTTACTCTCCGGTGGTCAAAGTCCGACTAGTGGAGGAAAAATGGATTTGCACTGGTCTATAAACAAGAGTGAAACCGAATATCGGTTTTGGATATGAAAGTTTTCGTGTAATGGGAAAGTTGCGGTTGATAATCACGGATTGACGATTGAATCAATGGAAAATGTATCGCGTGGTCCCGATGCCGGATATACTAATGCCGAAGCACTTCGAATTTCAAGACGGTGACCGACGCACAAGAGTTTCTATACTTAGATTTCGGCTACCTTCCATCCTCCAGTAACTTATTTTGAACGTCATCGCACTCTTAGAATAGCGCTAGCAAGTCTCCATGACTCGTGACGCTCATCGCGACATTATCCCCAAGTTTTTAAAAATATTCTTTCAGCTTAGCATACCAATAATTGGGCTTTAATCAATCTAATCATCTCCAATCAATCTTCCAGGTGTTGGGGACTGGGAATAAATAATAAATATATTTTCAAAATTTTTCATCGCAAAAATCGCACGCGAATTTCGCGATTTGGCGTGAGACCGCGGATTTGAAATTTGAAGAACATTGAAACGTTAAAAATAGTGTCAAGTTCATCTTGAAAATATTGTTGATAATGTATTATTTTTGATTTTCCCACGCGCCTGCGCGATTTATTGAGAGGTGATGTCCGTGTTTTTTGGATTTCGCGTCATCTCCATGGGAAATTGGAGAACGAAATCGTCAAATAAATATAGACCGGGACAAAGAACTTGGCTGATTATTAACAAAGGCATTAATTACAGGGTAAAAGCGAAACTATATTTATTCAAAGCAAGCATCCGATGAGTAGCCGCATGAGTAATTCGACACTGTCGCCATATTAGATCATGAATCGTCGGATTTATATTCGCAGCAAATTACAAGTACTATATCAGTCACACGTGTGAGTTTCAGGTATGCAATTCATTAAAATACTGCACAATTAATTTTTTCCTCTGGGATAATTACGAACTATTAATTCAGCCGTGAACGTATGGGCAATTAAATTCTAGATGACGATTAAATTT